GCCGCATCCAGGTCGAGGAGATGCAAGCACAGCTGGCCAAGCGCGAGGAGGAACTCACCCAAACGCTGATGCGCATCGATGAGGAGTCCGCCTCAAAGGCCGCCGCCCAGAAGGCGCAACGTGAACTCGAATCCCAGCTGGCCGAGATCCAGGAGGATCTCGAGGCCGAAAAGTCAGCGCGCAGCAAGGCCGAAAAACTGCGTCGCGATCTCAGCGAGGAATTGGAGGCGCTTAAGAACGAGCTGCTCGACTCACTGGATACCACAGCCGGTAAGTCGAAGATTTGTGCTTTTCCTGTAATACTTTCTATATCAAATTCTCTTCTTGCTCTGCTACAGCCCAACAGGAGCTGCGCTCCAAGCGCGAGCAGGAGCTGGCCATGCTGAAGAAGTCTCTGGAGGAGGAGGGCGTGAATCATGAGAGCGTGCTCGCTGAAATGCGCCACAAGCATGCCCAGGAGCTGAACAGCATCAACGATCAGCTGGAGAATCTGCGCAAGGCCAAGGCTGGCTTGGAAAAGGCCAAGGGCACCCTCGAGGCGGAGAATGCGGATCTGGCCACGGAGCTGCGAAGCGTGAACAGCTCGCGACAGGAGAATGACCGCCGACGCAAGCAGGCGGAGTCTCAGATCGCTGAGCTGCAGGTGAAGCTGGCGGAGATTGAGCGTGCGCGTTCCGAACTGCAGGAGAAGTGCACGAAGCTGCAGCAGGAGGCAGAGAACATTACCAACCAGCTGGAGGAGGCCGAACTGAAGGCCTCGGCAGCCGTCAAGTCAGCCAGCAATATGGAATCGCAGCTGACAGAGGCACAGCAGCTGCTAGAGGAGGAGACCCGCCAGAAGCTCGCCCTCAGTTCCAAGCTGCGTCAAATCGAATCGGAGAAGGAGGCACTGCAGGAGCAGCTCGAGGAGGATGAGGAGGCGAAACGCAACTTCGAACGTAAATTGGCCGAGGTAACAGCCCAAATGCAGGAGATCAAGAAGAAGGCCGAGGAGGATGCCGATCTGGCCAAGGAGCTCGAGGAAGGCAAGAAGCGCCTCAACAAGGACATCGAGGCGCTGGAGCGACAGGTCAAGGAGCTGATGGCACAGAACGACCGCCTGGACAAGAGCAAAAAGAAGATCCAGTCGGAGCTCGAGGATGCTACCATTGAGCTGGAGGCGCAACGCACGAAGGTAAGTAAAGACACGTATAATAAATAAGCCAGTTGCTCATCCTTATATCATTCATCAGGTGCTCGAATTGGAGAAGAAGCAGAAGAACTTCGACAAGATACTCGCCGAAGAGAAAGCCATATCAGAACAGATCGCCCAGGAGCGCGACACGGCGGAGCGTGAGGCCCGTGAGAAGGAGACCAAGGTGCTGTCAGTATCCCGCGAATTGGACGAGGCGTACGACAAGATCGAGGATCTGGAAACGAAACGCAAGCAGCTGCAGAACGAGCTCGACGATCTGGCCAACACACAGGGCACGGCCGACAAGAACGTTCACGAGCTGGAGAAGGCGAAACGTGCGCTCGAATCGCAGCTGGCCGAGCTGAAAGCACAAAACGAGGAGCTCGAGGATGATCTGCAGCTGACCGAGGATGCCAAACTGCGTCTGGAGGTCAACATGCAGGCGCTGCGCTCGCAATTCGAACGGGACCTGCTAGCCAAGGAGGAGGGCGCCGAGGAGAAGCGACGTGGCCTGGTCAAGCAGCTGCGCGATCTGGAGGCCGAGCTGGACGAGGAGCGCAAACAGCGAACGGCCGCGGTGGCGGCCAAGAAGAAGCTGGAGGGTGATCTCAAGGAGATTGAGACCACCATGGAGATGCATAACAAGGTGAAAGAGGATGCCCTCAAGCATGCCAAGAAATTACAAGCACAAGTCAAGGATGCGCTGCGCGATGCCGAGGAGGCCAAGGCCGCCAAGGAGGAGCTGCAGGCGCTGAGCAAAGAAGCCGAACGAAAGGTGAAGGCACTCGAGGCCGAAGTATTACAGCTGACCGAGGATTTGGCCAGCTCGGAGCGTGCCAGGCGAGCGGCAGAAACTGAGCGCGACGAACTGGCCGAAGAGATCGCCACCAATGCCAGCAAGGGCTCGCTCATGATTGATGAGAAGCGGCGGCTGGAGGCGCGCATTGCCACCCTGGAGGAGGAGCTCGAGGAGGAGCAATCGAATTCAGAGGTACTGCTCGATCGCAGCCGCAAGGCGCAGCTACAGATCGAACAGTTGACCACAGAGCTGGCCAACGAGAAGTCCAACTCGCAGAAGAACGAGAACGGACGTGCGCTGCTCGAGCGCCAGAACAAGGAGCTGAAGGCCAAGCTGGCCGAGATCGAGACGGCGCAACGCACCAAGGTGAAGGCCACCATTGCCACGCTCGAGGCGAAGATAGCCAATCTGGAGGAGCAGCTGGAGAACGAGGGCAAGGAGCGACTGCTGCAACAGAAGGCCAACCGCAAAATGGACAAGAAGATCAAGGAGCTCACCATGAACATCGAGGACGAGCGAAGACACGTCGACCAGCATAAGGAGCAAATGGATAAAGTGAGTGGAATTTGTAATTGAATTTGGGATAATGCTAATTCTCTTTATGTATCAATCACAGCTGAATAGCCGCATTAAACTGCTCAAGCGCAATCTGGACGAGACCGAGGAGGAGCTGCAGAAGGAGAAGACGCAAAAGCGCAAATATCAGCGCGAATGCGAGGACATGATCGAATCCCAGGAGGCCATGAACCGTGAGATTAACTCACTGAAAACGAAATTGCGGTAAGCGCAGGGCAGAGACTAGCGGGGAATTAACTGGATGAACTGAAGGCAGCAGCAGTGGCTGCAGCTGCTGTCGCTCTAATGAAAGTTTATACTCTTGCAGATGAAGCAGAAAGTGTATAGCCTAAAAGGGGAGCACTTCAAATAGTATATATAGTATAGTATATAGTCTTATGATTTCTGATAGGTATAGCTATTCCATGACCAGTCTGTTCAGCTGTTTGTTTACTATGTCAATATGGATTTTACTTATATAGAAGTCGGTCTGATTGTGTCTTTATATACATATATTGAATAACATCTCTTTGTAATCATGTCATATAGATTTAATATATAGAATCTGTAATCTCTATCTGTCTGCAAGAGTACGTTGACATCGGCAGGCCGATTGTAACTCAGCTTCTTTTTGGTATTATTTCTTTTTTTGGTTTTTTGTACTGTTTATTTATTTATATTTTTCTCTGGKCTTGACGACGTTGTTACTATATGTGCATATATAGTTCGATACAGGTGGCCGAGACTGAAAAGGCCAAAGCATATTCGCCGAAAAAGGATGCTGCACTCATTATGAATTGTGAGGGTCTGCATTAGGTTTCCATTTCGCTTCGCTTCCTCTTGGTAGGCTGTAAGTGCTGGCGACATCTTCATCTACACCCAACCAACTACAGAGAATGAACCAATTCCAATCAGATCTATGTCAAGATTTTAGTGCATGTTAGACACACACACACACACTTACACACATACACATTAAATCGTGCGTTTGAATAGCGTTCAATGTTCGATACGAATCCCTTCCCAGGACTAGAACTTAGTGCATTTTATCGTACATAGCGTGTCTCCACTTCCCTACAACTCTCGTTATATTGTTTTACATACATATATATATATATATGTTTGCGTTGACCCTTACAACCTCTTGTTTTTATTTTGCACGATAAGCCTCTGTCTTTAATTATTTTTAAAAATAATTTGTTATATTTTGTATTTTGTTTCTCCTTTTGTAGACGCACCGGCGGCATGGGCCTCAGCTCCAGCCGACTCACGGGCACACCATCGTCCAAGCGCGGAGGCGGCGGYGGGGGCGGCGGCGGCGACGACAGCTCATCGGTGCAGGATGAATCATTAGATGGCGAGGATTCAGGCAATTGACGCGTTAATTATTAATACATAAAAAAATAATTAAAAAAAACAACAAAAAAATCAACAAAAAGGAAATAAACGATTATATTTTAATGTTTCTTTTATATAATTTCTCTGTTATTTTTTATATAAACTATTATTCTTAATTAAAAACTTAAAGACAACAACAAACGCAAAACAAAATAATTATACAACATAAAAACAAACTACAACCAATACGCGTATTAACTTTCTTCCTCCCCTACTTAAACCCCCTTCAACATGCAATATACATATACAATACACATGCATTTAATAACTAAAGGTTTATAAAACAATCAAATGTTGAACAAGCAACTAATATACGAATTTCGTTTTGTTTAGAAACAATAAATATTTGCTATAACAATTATAAATGGTTCAAATGTCTGTTTGAATTTGCGCGGGTCGAATGCGAATTGTGCTGGCAGTACTCTTGCAGTGTGGCCAAGCATGGGCACAAATTCTCGAAAATCATGCATATCAACTAGCTCTTGTCAGTGAGCAAAGTCTAGAAGGTCGCATAGGGAATTTCAATAGAGTTTGTGAGCAATAAAGAGCAAAGAACTGATTATTCTTATGATACTCATTTATTTAGTTTGCACCTTTTAAATTCAATAAAAATAAAAAAATCGTTTTTCTTTTTATTTGATGTAATTTTCTTCTAATCAATTCAAGTATCAACAGTCATCCAACAAAATTGCACTGTAAAAAATTGTTGCATACCGTTACGGGGTTGCCGGTAAAGCCGTTTTAGTGCAGAGTTTTCGTATGAAGGTTTTCTGAAGTACCAGGCGAACAGAAATCAGCAGCAGGGCTGAAAATGTTAATGAACATGGTGCTAACAGTGCACTGTCAGCGAACATAATTCTGGTAAATCGCTGTTAAGTACACTGTTAATCAACAGTAACTGTTATTTTACCGCCAAACTTTGGGGCAGTTGAATTTTGAACTTGAATTCATAACGGCGAGGAAGGATACTTGTTATTTAATGATACATAATCAAATCCATACCATTTATTGCTTTTTATACTTACTATTTATTAAACATTTGTTTCATTTCTTTATACATATGATACATATATACAATTTGTTAACTACATCGTATCCTAAGTCGTGACAAATTCGAAAATCTCTTGATTAATAAGGCACTCCAGCGCAAGAAGGCTCTCTCTCTTACCCATGCACAAAACCCATTTGTGCTGCCCCGCCCACAAATCCCTCCCCTAACTAATTGCTAATGGCACTACGAATTGGCGCAATGCGCCAGACTGACGCCATGTGGCAGGACCTGGACAACAACAATGCCACCACCATTGCTAGCACTTGGACCAGCAAGGGCCTCCAGCTCCGCAGAGGATTTGCTCTTCTCCAGCTGCTGYTGCTCCTCACGCTTGCTGTTCAGATAATAAACACTGGCCACGATTAGGCTGAAGCTGGTCACGGAGACCAATAGGGTGCCGTACTTGAGCGCCAGCTGAATGGCATCCAGGCCAAAGGTGCTCACATAGAGCGTGTGCAGGACATCTTCATTAAAGTCGCCAGCGGTTATTTCAATCCAGATCAGGGGCAAGATGGTGGCATTCTGCATGCGCCAGGCTTGATCTGAAAGACGGGAATTTAGATGAATGGACTCTATAAGCGAATGTCATTTAACTTACTGCGCAGCAGTGGCGTCTTGTCCAGCATGATGTTGATCTGGATGCGGGAGGCGCCGCTGATGGGGAAGCCAAAGCGCGGATGTATATCGGCATAAGTCTGATGCAGTTCGGCATCTGGATTGATGCCTTCAAAATCTTTGTACAGTATCGGATCGCCGGTGAAGAAATGCGGAAACGATGGGAAGATTGGCGAATCATCGTAGCACCTGGTCGCATTGATAACGCCACTCGGCAGACAGAGATCAGTATTGCGGCAATAACATTCGTTGGCCGGATTCTCGGAAGGATGGGCAAAGACGTCCAAGGGCGTACGATAGCGCAGCACATCGATGTCATTGTAGATGGTCTCCTCCTTCTCGAAGCGCAGCGGCACCTTGCGGCACAGCACCTGCAGGAAGACATTCACCGTGCTGCGAGTCTGCAGCATGGTGGGCGAGAACATGGACGGCTCGCTGCCATCGATGCGATTGCACTCGTCGCCCTGCCAGAAATCCAACTGGGGCTTCCCATTGAACTGGGTGATGATGCTAAACTTGGAGATGTCGTCCTCGCCCGTGTTCAGCTGCACCGAGTCCACGCTCGTTCCGTTGCGCTGCAAATGGAGATCAGAGATCAGGGATTAGCTGATGTGGCTTAAGTTGAATCTAAGTTTCTTTAGTTCTCACAGTTCTCAGCAGACCGAAGTGCGTCTTGCCGCCGCCCAGGGATTCCAGACTGATGATCTTGTCCCGATAGCCCCATAGGTACTCGTGGGCAGTGAGTCGCTTGAACAGCGGCTCCTCAAAGAGCTTGATGGTGCCGGTCACAATGAGGCGCTTGATTGCGGCCATCCGCTTCACATGCACCGCCGCCGATAGCAGCGGTACATTGGGCACCAGGATCATATCATCTTCCCGCACCGTCGACTTTTCCGGCAGAAACTTATACGATTTTTTATCCTGCAAGCAGATGGAAAAATCAATATATTTGTTTAATTAATGGAAATTTGTGAGAGGCTTACCCGAAATGTAACCGTATGATTCTTATTGAAGGACACCTGATCCTTGATCGTATGCTCCTGATAGGTGAGCGGACCCAGATCCTCGACGTGTATCTTGTCCGCCCGCCCAGCCAGGTAGTCCTCAATATTCGTATAGTTAAAGATGTGCGCCTTTAGCAGCGTATCATACTTGGGATCCGGCGAGAGCCAACTGTTCGCCGTATCCGAGTGCTCGGCGAGTATTAAATTCTGCGAAAGTTACGAAAGTACAAATTAGCGAGTGATCGGATATACATATATACTGGGTATGTTTGTAATGTGAACTGGTATAAGGGAATCAAAAGGTAACGAATGAAGGGATTAAGAGCGAAAAGTAAAGATGGAAGAACGAAGAATGAAATGCAATGAATGTAGAAGGAAGAGAACATGGAGAGAAAATAAACAATTCGTATCGGCAATTACCTCGAGCATTGTATTATTGTAGTATTCGGTAAACCACATCACAAAGAACCCGGTCACGCTTATCACAAACAGCAAAAACATGGAGCCCAGCACTGTAAAAAGGTCGCAATAAAATTGGGTTAATCCGAGGGCGATGACGCACATGTATAAATACTTGTAGTATGGACTTACTTATCAGTGTGCCCATATCCTTGGACGTCAGATTGCGCAGGGCCAACGATTCCAGTATCATATCCAGCACCGTCAGCTTCTCGGGCCCGGGACTGGAGTAGTTCGAGGTATTGCCATTGCGTAGGGAGTTCAAGGTGTTSGTTTTCGATTTGTTTGTTTGTACTGTGAGATCCTCTGAGGCAGGCAGCGTTGGCTGTGCCACATCATGGTGCAGCGTGGCATGCGACATGATGTCTGGAGTATTTGCTGTGAAATATATAATGATTACGAACTATGTATTACTATTAGCATTGTTTATTGTTTGGTTTATTAGTTGGCTTGGTATAGAGCCACGTCTAGCGTTATGCATGTTATGTATAACCCCAAGTGATCTATGGCGACACGTGTTATATGCCACATTGCCTTATCACTCGCCATGCCATTAGGGCTTTAGTATTTCGCTCTGGTCATTGAACCAACGAACAAAAACTTGCAAGTGCATGTTTCGAGTATAGAAATGGTTTGCCCATTCATAACTTAACCTGACTCAGATACCTGGGCTCTATATAGATTGTATATATGTATGTAGTATATATATAGTATATGTATAATTTAATTCCGAAATGATCTAGCGCTTGAGTCGCAGCTCTTAACCAGCCGATCGTTGAACACCGTGTGTACTAACTAATCTCGGTTTTGGTTTTTTCACAAGCTACGCGTGCTACTCTCAAATCAAAGTACAATAACAATTCTATATATATATATATGTATATTATACTAATCGGTCTATATAGAATGGCACATCGCTTATCAGTGTTGCTTGGTAAATGCGAGAAGGCTACAAACACAATTCATACAGAGAATATTCAACGAGTGTATTAAAGCAAATCTATAGACACAAATATATGTGTATGGGCATATCAGCATACATATATATGTATGTATGTATGTATGTATGGGTACCTTAATATGCTCCAAATTGCGAACTAGTTGGGGTACGTCTTATATTAGGGGCTTAAGCATGGTAACTATGAATATATAGATATACTTATGCCTATGTGTATATACATATGTATACAAATGCTTGTTTGTATATGGGATTAGCATATAAGAGTGTTAAGATTCCATTAGGATCTTTTCCAATCATTTGTATTCGGATAATTCTCATATGAATAGTAATGATAATGATGGCAATGAGAATAATAATAGTAATGGGATAATAATATTAACAATAATAATAATGATAGTTCTAAGAAAACAATAACAATCGTACGAAATCTATAAGAAGTACGAATTTCTATTAGTTCTTATCTAAAAAACAAAAACAAAAAACTATTCTAGTTTCTATATATAATTGAATGAAATACATTGCAACCAATTCAAAATACATGAGTGAGAGATAAGCTAATGCCCTAATGTAAGTTAGGTAGGTACAGGAAAGTTCTTATAAACAACAATTTTAAGTGCTTTTGTGGTCGCAGTTGTATTCGATAATAGCTTTAGAGATTTACTGATTAAGACTTATAAGAGTACCAGAGTATTTAAATATACCGATTTGGTTTAAATATAAATTGAGCAAACGAAACGATGAACTATAATATATGACAGAAATTTCTAATCTTTGATAGAACTTTCTGCTGATTTATTATATATATGTATATACATAATTAATCAGCAAAAGTTCTATTAAATATATAAGTTATATACATACATATATATGTTTGTCTATATATTCATATTATTGCTAGCTCTGCGGTAATGTCAGCTGGAAAAGGGGTCAACAACATTCTGATAAGAATTGCGCTGCTGTTTGTCATAATTGCCAATTTGAAATGAAAAATTTCCAATAATAAAAACTATGAAAAGTAGCGGTTATCAAAATAAATGAACTGAGCTGGATCAAAAGTTGATGGACTCTCCAATGATTTACATATTTGTTGTCAAGTTCACACACACACACACATACACACACACGCGCACACTTATGTATTTATAAATACAACTGCATGTGGCAAGTATTTGGAAGTAGCTCGAAACATGTTCTTTTTTTTATATATTTAATTTCTGCTCACTCGGTCGCTGATAAGTATTCACACACAAGCACAAACAGACATAGATACATACATGCATACATACATACAATATACGTACATGTGCAGGCTGGACGTTGTGCGGGCGTTTAAAAGCTTTGAAAGTTGCACTGGCCCTGTTGTTATTGTTATTGTTGTGTTGTTGCTTCTGCTATTCAACTCACTGCTATGAAATTTAATTGACGCTGCGGCGTCGTTCACTCAGTGCCATTGACTGATAACACAATGGCACGGCCACGGAAGATGCGTCCACCTGTGCGGAGAGCAAGCGCCGGCATAAAGACGAGCAACGCGCAAGAGCTCTAATACGCAGCTACCGTTGTTGGTGTGCACTTGAAAAATGTTGAGATGTAAGCGAAGCACACAGAGAAACACGTACGCGCAGCCCAGCTGATCGCAACAATTTGGAAACGAAACACGCGCACTCAAACTCACACAGGAATTGCACTCGCGCTTGTTCTCACTCAACGCTACTCTCTCGTCTAGCGTTGTTTCTCGCTTGCACTCACTGCAAACGGTGCTCCGTATGTATGCGCTCTTGCTTAGACATGCACTTTCCAAGACGCCTGCCAAACATTTGGCGTTTTAATTAATAATTTGTCGCTTTTTGCGCTGACTGCGCACAAAATACGAAGCCAAAAATTTTAAAAGCTTGTTATTGTTCGTATTATTACTGTTGCTATTGTGCTGAATGTTGTGTATTCCAGTTCGCCGCAGCGACACACTACGCCTAGGCAGCGCTAGCTCTCTTGTTGCTGTCGAAATCTGATTGAATGTTACTGATTGTTGTTGTAATGTTGTTGCTGTTCTTGTTTCTGGCGTTCCAGTCTTTACGGGCTGTGTTGTTGTCTTGTGTTTTGCGTTCTTTGTTACCCACTTGATTCTTTGTTTTGTCGCTATTTCGTTCTGACTACCGATCGCTTACTGTTGTTGTTGTTGTGCTCTTGTTATTATTATTATTATTATTATTGCTGTTTTTTTTTTTTTTTTTTTTTTTTTTTTG